TATATGTTTATTCATAATTTCCAAAAACTAGAAAAAACCAAGATGTTCCTAAAATGGTAAATGGATAAACCGTGGTACATCCATACAATATAATATAATTTAATGATAAAAAGGCATGTATTATTAAGACACAAAAAGGCATGAAAATGACTACTGATACCACAGAAATACAAAGGATTCTAAGAGACTACTATGAACAAGTATACGCTGACAAACTGGATAGTCTAGAAGAAATGAATACATTCCTAGAAATATACAACCTACTGAGACTAAATCACAAAGAAATAAAAAAATCTCAATAGACTAGTAAGAGTAAGGAGATTAAACCAGTAATCAAAAATCTCTCAACAAGAGAAGTCCAGGACCAGATGTCTTCACTGGTGAATTCTACCAAACATTTAAAGAAAAATTAATGCCAATCTTTCTCCAACTCTTTAAAAAAACTAAAAAGGAGGAAACACTTTCAAACACATTTTGTAAGGCCAGGATTACCTTAATACCAAAGCCAGAAAGGGACACTATAAAAAAATAAAATTATAGGCCAATATCTCTGATGAATCTGGACATAAAAATCCTGGACAAAATATTAGCAAACTGAATTCAACAGCACATTGAAAAGATCTTACATCACGATCAAGTGGGATTTATCTCTGAGATACAAGAATGGTTCAACATATACAAATAAATAAATGTGATACACCACACTGACAGAATGAAAGAAAAACCATATGAACATCTCAATAGATGCAGGAAAAAAACCTGACAATTTCAACATCCTTTCACGATAAAAACCCTCAACAATTTAGGTATAGAAGGAATGTTCTCAACACTTTTCTCAACACAATTAAGGCCATATGTCACAAGCCCACAGCTCATACCACAGCCACTGGTGAAAAGCTGAAAATTTTTCCTCTAAGATCAGAAACAAGACAAGAGTGCCCACTCTTACCACTTCTATCCAGTATAGTACTGGAAGTCCTAGCCAGAGCATTTATGCAAGAAAAAGAAATAAAAGGCATCCAAATCAGAAAAGAAGAAGTAAAACTGTGTCTGTTTGCAAAGGATGTGATCTTATATATAAAAGCCCTAAAGACTTCACCAAAAAACTATTAGAACTAATAAACAAATTCAGTAAAATTGCAGGATATAAAATTAGGATACAAAAATCAGTTGCATTTCTATATATGAATAACAAACTATCTGGAAAAAGAAACACTGTTTATATGCATCAAAAATGTTAAATACTTAGTAATAATTTAACCAAGGAAGTGAAAGACCTGTGCACTAAAATATAAAACACTGTGAGAGAAACTGAAGAAGCATAATAAATAAAAAGTATCTCCATAGTCAAGAATTATAAAAATTATGTTGTATGTCATATTACCAAAGTAATCTATAAATTCAATGCAACCCTATCAAAATTCAGTGGTATTTTCCAAAATTAGAAAAAACAATGCTAAAATTCATAAAACTACAAAAAACCCAAATAGCCAAAGCAATCTTGAGAAAAAAGAAGAAAGTTGGGGCATCACACTTCCTGATTTCAAGCTACATTATAAAGCTAGAGTAATCAAAACAGTATGGTACAAGCATAAAAGCAGACACATAGACCAACAGAACAGACAGCCCAGAAATAAATCCACTCATATAGGCTCAAATAATATTTGATAAGGTCACCAAGAATACACAATGAGGAAAAGATAGTCTCTTCAATAAATGGTGCCAGGGACCGGCATGGTGACTCATGCTTGTACTCCTAGCACTTTGGGAAGCCAAGGCAGGTGGATTGCTTGAGCTCAATAGTTCAAGATCAGCCTGAGCAAGAGTGAGACCCTGTCTCTACTAAAAATAAAAGAATTAGCAAGTACGCATGCACTAGTCCCAGCTACTGAGGCAGAAGGATCACCTGAGCCCAGGAGTTTGAGGTTGCAGTAAGTTATGATGATACCACTGCACTCTAGCTGGGATGACAGAGCAAGACTCTGTTTCAAAAACCAAATAATAACAATAATGATAAAAAGGTACTGGGAAGACTGGTTATCAACATGCAAACGAATGAAATTGGACCCTTATTTATGCCATCACAAAAAGTAACTCAAAATGGATAAAGACTTAATGTAAGACCTGACACTATAAACTACTAGAAAAAACATATGGAAAAAGCATCTTGACATTAGTCTTGGCAAGTTTTTTTATATGACATCGAAAGCAAAAATAACAAGGGATTCTACCAAACTAAGAAGCTTCCACACAGCAAAGGAAATGATCAACAAAATGAAAGGTAACTAGGAAATGGAAGAAATATTTGAAAACCATATATCTAATAAGGGTTAATCCAAAATATTAAGAAACTCATAAAACTCAAGAGCAAAATATAAAAAATAAAAATGGGCAAGGACATGAACAGACATTTTCCAAAGAAGAAATACAAATGGCCAAGGAGTACATGAAAAGGTGCTCAACATGACTAATCATCAGGGAAATGCAAATCAAAACCACCTTGAGATAATCACTTCAGACCTGTTATTATCAAAAAGGCAAGAGATAATAAGTGCTGGCCAAAATGTTAAGAAAAAGAAACTCTCATTCACTGCCGGTGGGAATGTAGACCTGGTATAGCCATTATGTAGAATATGGAGGTCAAAATAGAATTACCATATGATCCAGCAATCCCACTTCTGGGTATATGTCTAAAGGAAATGAAATAGTATTTCAAAAAGACATTTGTACTCCCATTTCATTTCAGCAGTATTTACAACAGGTAAGACATGAAAACAACCTAAGTGTCCATTGACAGATGAATGGATAACGAAAAGTGGTATGTGGTGGGTATGTGTGTATGTGTAATGGAATATCATTCAGCCTTGTTGTTGCCATTGGCAATAACAAGGATAAACCTGGAGGGCATTACACCTAGTGCAATGAGCCAGAAAGAGAAAGACAAATATATTAATCTCACTTACATGTGGAATCTAAAAAAGTCAAACTCATAGAAAGAGAATAGAGTTACCAGAGGCTAAGGGGTGAGGAAAATGAGAAGAAGCTGGTCAAAGGTACAAACTTTCAGTTATAGATGAATAAGTTCTGATGAATAATTTGGGGAAATAATGTACAGTCTGGTGACTATAGTTAACAATAATGTATTGTATACTTGAATTTGCTAAGAGTAAATCTTAATGTTTTCACCACACACACATACACACACACAAAGTAACTATGTGAGATGATGGATGTGTTAACTAATTTGATTGTGGTCATCATTTCACAATATACACATATATCAAATTTTTAAAAAGAAAAGAAAAGGGACTGGTCACCAAGGCTCATGCCTATAATCCCAACACTTTGGGAGGCCAAGGCAGGAGATTGCTTGAGGCCAGAAGTTTAAGAACAGCTTGGGCAACAGCCAAGGCCCCATCTCCACAAAAAAAAAAAAAAAAAGAAGGAAGGAAAGAAAGAAAGAAAGAAAGCAAGCAAGCAAGCAAGCAAGCAAACATGGAGGAAACTTACTGCTTAGTGAAAGAAGCCAGTCTGAAAAGGCAATAATATACTATATATTGCCAATTGTATGACATTTTGGAAAAGGCAAAATTATGGTGACAGTAAAAAAGACCAATGGTTGCCAGGGATTTTGGGGGAGATAGGCAAAGGGATGAAGAATTGGAGCACAGGGGATTGAAACTATTCTTTATGATACCATAATGGTGGATATAAGACATTGTACATTTGGCAAAACCCACAGAATTCACAACACAAAGAGTGAACCCTAAACTATGGACTTTTGTTAATGAGGATGTATCAATATGAGTTCTCCAATAGTGACAAATGTAACACACTAATGCAAAATGTTAATAGCAGGAGAAACTGAACAGGGGAGAGAGGGGTTATATGGGAACTTTCTGTCTTATCTGCTCAGCCATCTGTAAACCTAAACTGCTGTTTTAAAAAGTCTATTAATTTTTTTAAAAAGCAAAAGAAATTTAAAAGCAGTCAATGAGTTCAGTTGCCAAACTGGTCAATGAAAAATTTAACGAAAGTAGCTTGGATTCAGAACCAATCTAATTAGTTCCTTTTTTTCCCTTTTTTAAAATTTTAATAAATTTAAGGTATACAAGTTCAATTCTGTTACATGTAAATTTACATGGCAGTGAAGTCTGGGAATTTGGTATACCTATCACCTGAATAGTGTACATTTTGCCCATAGGTAATTTTTCATCCCTAACCTCCTCCCACTGTAATTAAATAGTTGAATGATCCATCTTTGACCAGAACTGTCCGCTATGAGACCATATTAGAAGAAGCTATGGTCTCTATGCAATCAGGATTAACAGTTGAAATAAAGTCTACACTGATGAAAACCATGGGCAGATACTTATTAAGGAAGATAGTGCTACTTATCATACTATTAAAACCAGTTACTCCCTCAGATCTTGTTTTTCTTTTCACAAAACTTACTCCATGTAAACTTTTAAGTCTCATCAAGGTTTTATACAACTGACAAAAGCAGACTAGGATACCTATAGAAAAATAAAGGTAAAAATAATGTTTATGTTGATGTAATACTAGCCAAAGATTTTACAAAGGAGACGGACTGCCCTATATTTTGTTATTTATGTCTCTTACCCTTTCCTTTCTATGCATCTGTCAAGTTAGCTCCTTGCTTCATATTAATTTTCAAATAGCGCTCGGAATCTTTCAATCTGACCTTTCCATAGTCAGCAGGGGAAGACCAGAGAGCTTAAGGCATTTTCAAACCTAGGGTTCTGTGTCTGGAATTCTTATTTTGAATTTTACAGAGCTAGTATTCATACATTTGTGATAAATTAAAATACAGGCCAGGCACAATGGTTCACACCTGTAATACCAGCACTTTGGGAGGCCAAAGCAGGAAGATCACTTGAGGCCAGCAGTTCAAGAATAGCCTGGCAACACAGCAAGACTCCATCTTTACAAAATATTAAAAATATATATATAAATTAGCCGGGTATGGTGGGAAATACCTGTAGTCCCAGGTACGCAGGTGGCTGAGGCAGGAGGTTTGCAAGCATTCGAGGTTGTGGTAAGCCATGATGGGTCACTGTACTCCAGCCTGGGTGACAGAGTGAAACTCTATCTCTAAAATATTTAAAATTAAAAAAATTAAAATACAGTAAGATATTCATTATAATTATGATTTTAAGCCTTAGATGGGTTACAGTGAGAAGATTAGGGTTTTTTTTTAATCTTCTCTTTCTATAGAACACAGAGTCAGAAAAAACACAGACTCTGTCAAAGGCTAGAACTCATCTTATAAAATCTAATTCAGTGCTCTTTATATGATCTAAATGCCTTACAAGGTAACCTATCCTGATTAAGGAGTGTGTATTATAATAGGTGGCAATATATCTAAATCACTTATAACAGTGCCTAGCACAAAGTACACTCTATGTGAGAGGTTAGTTAACTTTTTTTGTAAAGAGCCAGATAGTAAATATTTTAGGCTTTGTGGGCCATATGGTTTCTGTTGTAACTACTCAATGGCACCTTTGTAGCACAAAAGCAGCCATAAAAGAGAGCATGACTGGGTTCCAATAAAACTTTATGGACATCAAATTTGATTGTTATATAATTTTTACAGATCATGAAATATTCTGATTTTTTCAACAATTAAAAAAAACATAAAAACCATTTTAGCTTGTGGGGTATACAAAAATAGGCAGAGGACTGGCATTTGGGCTGTAGTTTGCTGACCTTTGCTCTATATATAACAAGTAGACATTATTATATCTATAATATCTTTCTATAGATTATTTTTAATGGCTGCTTACAGCAAGATTGTTTGGATAATCTATAATTTATTTAATCCCCCATGATTAGAATTTAGGTTATTTCCAGTATTCATTATCTTAAGTCATCCTCCAGTGAACCATCCACACAATGAAATCTTTATGCACATGTTTATTATAGCCATCTCTTAAAATTTATTTAGTGGTAGCTATAAAAATGGCAGAGCATATAGAAAGAAACAGACCCTGAAGAAATAGCTTTGAAAACTAATCCTGTGCAGTTATAGCAAATTTCAGACATGTTGGAGGAGCTTTATAAATATAATATATATTCTTATACATAGAATTTATGTCCCAAACATCATTTTAAGCCATTTATATATATTTCACCATTTAGTCTTCAAAACAATCCTATGAGATACAGGTGCAATTATCATCATCATCATCATCTTCATGTTACAAAATGGAAACTGAAGCACAGAAAGGCTAAGTAACTTCTCCAAGGTCACACAGTAAGCTGACAGCAGAGGCAGGATTCAAACATGATTTGTGCAGCACCATGGCCCATGTTCTTGAACACCAGGCTGCATCGCCTCTTCACTAGAGAGACCTGGCCAGTGTGAACTGGACACACTATAATGTACCTTTACACAATCAATAGTAGTGTTTTTTATATTCAGGTCACGCATGAGCGACCTCATATTCTAATAACTGGTGAAAATTCTATCCCCAAATGGTACACTACTGGTGGAAACTGTGGATACCCATCCAACCTTTTCCTTTTGTCCTACAGCACACACCCCTCAACGTGTACTCTTCGTTTTTTCTAAATTTCTTACCCAAAATAGTTGTCCAGTAAACAGTAAGGATTGATCGGATCATACTTTCATATCTTATTTTACAATTTACAGTCTCAAACCTACGAGGCGAACTTCAGGTGGTGCTTTGCCTACAGTTGAGGGCCCTGCATCGCGCGGGACCCAGAGTTTTGGATACAGGCGCTCTCGCTTGAAAACAGAAACAGTGGCCTGTGTCAAAAGTCTCTCCCATGTGGCCTCCACAGCAGCAGCAGCTCCAGCGCTGGCCCCTCGCCGCGCCCCAGACGGCGGTGTCCTGTCCCCGCGTGCCCCAAACGCCCGGCCTGCGCCGCCAGGCTCAGACGCCAGCCGCGCGCTCTCGGGGCCATTCCCGCCTGAGTTGCGGGCGAGTCTCTGGAAAAGGAGTCGGTCGTTCAACTCTGAGGTGAAATGAAGATTTTAGTTCTCGTTGCCTTTCCTGATTTCTCTCGCTAACCAGGAGCCTACTTCTCACATTATCCCTGAGGGGATGAGCGACCAACGCCGCTGTCTCACGACGCTGCCTGACCCCACTCAAGCCCAAACAAAGAATCCGCAAGTAGAGCGGAAACAAGAAAAGAAATAAGCGGGCCTTTCAAACCGCTCTCGCTGGTGTGTGGCTCGGCCGCGGCGTCGGAGAAGCGGGGCCGAGAGTCCTGGCCGAAGCGCGGGGCTCCGCCCGCCAGGGGCGCCCGGGCGGCGGGCGCGTGCGCGGTGCGGCCCCAGCCCCAGCCGCCGCCGCCGCGATGCCTATTTTAGTCAAAGCCGCTGCTGGCGTGGGGACCCGGCGCCGGGCTCTCGGCGTCCGGACCCGCCGACCTGCCGGGGCTGGCGCGACCCAGCTCACGTCGAGCAGCCGCCTCCGCGTCCCGCGCCCCGTCGCTGCCGCCCCAAACTTCGGCCAGCGCCGTCCAGGCTCCCTGCCCGGGACAAGCCAGGTAAGGAGCGGGAGGCGCAGCTGCCGCGGGCTCTCCGCGCGCGCTGCCCGGGCTATATTGGGAAGCGAAAGTTGGATCCCCGCTCCGTTGGGAGCAACTTTGCGGGCCCTGGCGGCGGCTGCCTGTCCTCCGCGCCTCGGCGGCGGGGGGCGCCGCCCTCTGCCCCTCCTCGCTGGCCGCGCCCTCGCGAGGCTCCTGCCCTTGGAGGCCGCCTTTCTCGCCGGTCTGCGCGCCACGGCCACAGACCCTCAGGGTCGGCTGCCGCAGCTCGGGTCGGGCAGCACCAGCGTCCCCAGCGATCGGTCCCATCGGGTGCCGGCTCCCGCGCTCTGCAGCGAGGAAGCCCTTTGGTGAGCTCGGCCTCTCTCCTCTCCGCTGGGTTCCCGGGGCTCCCGGCCCCCGACCACATCGCGGCTCCCCCTCGCGCACTGTAGGGCCACCAGGTCCCGCGCGGAGGCTGAGTGCGGCCGGGCGCACGGTGTCGCCCACCCAGCTCCGCGCTGGGAGTGTAGGTCCAGGAGGACAGTTGACACCGTCCTTCTTTAAGGAGCGAGGTGAGTGGGGTCCCAGGGGAGAGCAGATGGCTGGGGACCGTGGTCCTCGCCACCCGTCCGCACCCTTGTTCCCAGAACCTTTGGGAAAGCCTGTCGTCGTTGGCCTTACAAGTCGCGGAAACTGCATGCATTGAAGCATCAATAAGTGCGAAAAGACTTAGCAACGTAATGCCATTTGCTATTCCAAAGGTGTGCAAAGATTCCGTTAGAATTACAGAATGAATTAAGTTTACTAGCACGACTTTTGCTCATTGCTGTTATCTTCATCATTTTTGTAGTTTGGGGAAAACTTAATGTTAATTTCATCATTTACCTATTTAGCTCTGCAAACACCTATTTGAAGACCAATAGATAAAAAGGACTTTACTAGTATAGACGTTGAGGATCTGATGAAAGATTAATTTCTCTTGATTTGGCAAAAAAATTAGTCAAAATTAATCCGAAAGTTTATCAATTTACCAGTATAACCTTTCTCATTAGACACATTCATTCTTTGTATAAGGATAGTTGGTTATGTGTAAGCCACTTAAATCATTTAAGTGGTAATCAAAGTAAGCTGAAGCCAGAAAGATCCGATCAATATTTTGGTAACTTGTCTTTTACAATAGACAATTTTATATATAGATATATATCTTTATAGATGTATATATAGATGTAAATATCTCTTTATATAGCTCTATGCAAATATGCATTTAATAAGGTGTAGTGCATCAAAATATATTGTAGGATGATCCCACCTTTTTAAAAATTGCCATTACTATTTTCTGGTTCTTGGGTCAGTAGATTATAATTTTCCTATCATTTTTCATGGACCAGAAATTTGTACTTTTAGTACTACTTTAAGAAATTTTAAAAGCCTGAAATTGAACTACAGTGGATTAGTAGGCAATACAGGTGAAATCAGGTGGATTCAAGGGGGAATATGTGCTGATTAATTTATTATGTAAATGTGTATTCGAACCATAGGCTATTAAAACTTGAAAGAGTTTTTGACTATCTAGTCTAGCTGCCTCAATTCCAAGGTAGAAACAGAGCCAAGGAGCAGAAGTGACCTTCCTGATGGCTTGTGGTTATGGAAGCTGACCTTCTGAATCTCAGGAAGGCTAGGCGCTCCCCTGTCTTTACTGAGGTGTGGAGAGACTAGAAAGTGATTTCTCAAAGTGTTTGTCATGTTTATGTCCCTTCAGTATGGCTTTCATCTCTGCTAAAGTAGAGCTTTATATAGAGGCTAGGCCTTGGAAATACATAGAATCTTTGTATCCCCTCGACGAAATCCAAACTTCACAGGACAAATCCCTTAATTAAAAGGATTTGTTCTGCAAAATTTGGATTCAGTCAAGAGGCTGCATTCAAGGATACAGAAGGCCACATGTGGCCCCAAGGCCACAGGTTCCCCACCCCCGACATAGATGAATAAACATTGTCCCTACCTCATAGAAGACAAAGGGTAGTTAAAAGAACAAATAGGACAAAAGGGAGTGTGAGCACATTGTAAAGTGATGTAGAAATGGTAGTTATTATTAACTTATGTAATGCTAGGGTAGTTAATGTTAGCTTATGAGTGATAGAGGAAAATTAATATTGTTCTCTTTCCTATAGAAGTTATGGGATTAATTCTGATTTGACCCTCAAAAGCAAACTTTTATAAGTGGAGTTACTAAAATAAATAATGATCTTCCCCCCATCGTGCAATGGGCTTATATTTTTTTGACTGAGACATTTGGAAAGCAGAAGTTTTATGTTTCTTTCCTTTTTATAGCTAATCAGTACCTAAGGCAACTATTATTATATTGATAAGCTAGTTCAGAATTACGTAAAGAGATCTTTAATTGACTTGATCATTTATTCTGAATTGGTAAATTTAGGGGTATTTTTATCATCTTAAGAGATATAGAATTCTTTCATATTTGTCTGTTAATATCTTTCCAAGCTGCCCATTCTGTACCAATTATTCTACCACCTGAAACCTTTAGTATGTCAAAAACAATGAATAGAAAAGTAAGGTTAATTGGATGACCTTATTTTGAAAGAAATACATATTTCTAAATTAAAGGTATTTTGGGTCCCCATCTAGAATTCTTTTCGTGAAACAGAATAATTCACATATTCTTTAAACCAACATAGTGTCTGTCAAAGACCAAATTTGTATAATTTGGCCTATTGTATAATTTGTATAATTAATAATAGTATTTTAAGGAAGAGACCGGGGACAGGTAATATAGTCCAAAAATAGTACCACTTTATGTTAAATTTTATGTAAGCATGTGTAAAATGTATATTCTTTGAAATGTATTTGTTATGGATTGTAATATTAAATAGTCAAATGCATATTCATGACCTTTCCTACATATAAGTAAACTGGAAGTTAAGTACTTTTTAATTTGTGAGATGCTACCAACTAGAATTATTATGGCAAATAAAGATTTAAATTATACAATAAGAGAAAGTTTAAATGTTACATCTCTGTGTATATATAAATGTTTAGAATAATGTATATGATTATATATTGTGTACATTTATGTTATATTATGTATGTATCTATGATACAGTGATTTAATGATGGTATAAAAATAGAATCTTCTACATATTCTAAGCTTTCAAATAGTAGAGATGAGGGTTTTAATATTTTACAGAGTATTCAAACAATTAGTTTTTCCAGTTGTTTTTCCAGCATTTGGATTCAGTTTGGATTAGTGGAAATATGCTAGAAAACTATACTAAATAACTTTGTAATTGCTGTGGTATATGACCTTTGGTGATTGTCTTTTAGACTAGTTAATTCCATCACTCCTCCTTCCCCCACCAAGTATGTATATATACATGTACATGTGTGTACATACATATATACAGGTACATATATGTAAGGGAATAGTGCACTGTGCTAAGTATGTTATATATTTTATTTCATTTAATCATAAGGCAAATGAGATATTATTATCATCATTTAACAGGTAAGGAAATAGATATATTTAATATATGACAGGGCTGGGATTTGAACATGGGTCTATCTAATTCATAAGCACTAGAGAAGTCTGTTTATCAACACTTCATTCACAGAAATAATTTTGGTGGAACACATACAGTGGCAATAAGATACAGTAGCCATTTTTTGATCGTCCTATTGTTTATTTGTTTTTACAGGAATTTTCAAGATGAATTATACAGAATCCAGCCCATTGGCAGAATCAACTGCCATAGGTTTTACACCTGAGTTAGAAAGTATCATACCTGTGCCTTCCAATGAGACCACTTGTGAAAACTGGAGAGAGATACATCATCTAGTTTTTCACATAGCAAATATTTGTTTTGCAATCGGATTGATTATTCCAACTACTTTTCACCTTCATATGATATTTCTTAGGGTGATGTTTGCTGTAGGTAAGATACCTAATTGAGATTTTATCTAACTTTTCTAAAACTGGCATCAGATGGGCTTTATATTAGGGGCTCAGAGTATTCCTTGTCAGGCCTATAGCATACCAAAAAATATGTCTTCGTTACTGAGTTAGTACTATATGAAGTAACTTAGAACATAGATTTTCACGTGCCATATCTCTCACTTACTTTGGGTAACACTATATATGATTTCATATGTTGTTTAGATTTTTCAGATATCAGAAAATCCATTCATGTATAAGAATGTGGGCTTTGGAGTCAGATTGTGATTCTAATCCTGGTTTCACTACTTGCTGAGTAACTTGGGCAAGTGACTTAACCTTTTTACTGCCTCCCTTTTCTCACGTGTTGAGTAAGGGTAAAAATAATACCACTTCCTGGGGTGGTTGTGTGAGATAGAGCGAGAGAGAGAGAGAGAGAGTGTGTGTGTGTGTCTCATATATATATTTGACTTAGAATAGTGCCTGTCATATAGTAGGTATTTACTATATAGTTTTAACTATTATTATTTGAAAAGATACTTGCTGTGACCAATAAAGCAACTACCCAGACACTATAGTTTAAATAAATAAATATGTATTAATATATATATATATATATATATATATATGCCCCAGTAACCCTGGTAAAGCAGGTTAAATTGATTTACATCAAAATATTAAAACAATTGAATCTATTAGCCAATGATTATTGACAAATTACTGTCTATGTGATTATTTCCCTAATGACTCATTTATTCAGGTGCATTTTTGAGTGCTACAGTAGTAAGTCCCCCCCCCTTATCTAT